GAGTTTTACACCCATGATAGGAATGAATGTGATGATGAATATATGAATAAATAAAGCAAATAAATAAATCAACTTTGTTTAACAAGGGTGACACTTAACAGTTTTACGACTGACAAACATGTGGCCTTCGGATTCCAGATAAAATTGGAATTGACAAATGTTCGTTTTTGTGTAGGGAGGAAAACTGGAGTACCCCAGAGAAAGGAAGAGAACCAACAACAAACTCCACCCACATATGACTCCTGGCCGGACTCGCACCTGGGACACATTGGTCGGAGGCGAGCACTCTCACCACTGCACCATCTCTGCCAATACTGCCCTGATCTACAATCAATGTTCATGAACCAACCTTCTGCATCAGCACTGTCCTGGCGGCATTAGCAATGGCATCAGGGTGTCCCTGTTCATCAATGATTACAGACTTGACTGACTTGAGCACTTCATTAAGTGACTGTAATGTTGCCATAGCAACTGATCTGTCCTTGTCCTTTGTTATAACGGTTATAAAGGTTGGTATGGCTGTGCTGAGCATACGCTGCACTACAATGGAATAAGTCAAAACAAGACACTGGTCAGCAATGTTGCTATACAACACACAGCTTCCCCAGACAAGGAAACTGGGTTAATTATTGGAATACCATAAAGATGCAAATAGAGTAGTGATTTTTGTATGGAAATTTTGTTGTTGTTGCCTGCAGCGCGTGGGGGAAGATCTTCCAGTGCACAAGTTACGTGTTGGTAGTCAGTATTCATGAAAAATTCAATTCATCGAATTTCTTGTGACATTTTAAAGTTATTTTTTAGCTGTTACGTTGCCAATGCACTACATAGTGTCCATACATGTAATTTCCATAGTACGCTGGTGACACAAAATGTTGAACCACCTGTACAAGTCTTACTGTGGTAAAAATAACTATTACATAACACTGAGGACCCTACACATGTTTTTTGAAATGCTGATTGAAAAGGGAACAAAAATACAAACATCAATAATCTTTGATTTTGACATCATGCAAGCATCATACATTATATTTGGTAAAGGGAGTGTTTCACAAATCGGTGCATATGCACACTATGAAGTAATCCCATTTAATTTCAGTGTTTATGAACCAATCAAAAGCGAGTACTCGGGCGGGAAATTTGCCTGTGATTGTCCTTTCTGTACATACATGCTGTTTTATCCTCTGCACCAGCTTCCTGAAGAAGATTATGAAATCCACTGCAGAACTGACCTAACGCCATCACAGCTCCCTTCCGTACTCCTGTGTGAGGAAACTGACAAGTCGCATGGATTTTGTTAACAAAAGAAAGCAAAACAGGTTTTGCCTCTGTTGGTTTAATAATCATAATCCTTCTAGTTTAACATTTTACCCCCCCCCCCCCCCCCCTTCCCCCTCACCCCTCCATCTCCGAATTCTATTTACCTTTTTTTAAACAGATCAAGAGTAGTTTTCAATTGACAATGATGTGTTGTATTTGGTTATACGTTTGCTGAGCTAATACGTTTATTAAAAAAAAACATTTGAACTTTTGATGTGTATTAGTTGCATTTGGTTGTGATTACTTCAATTGGTTTTGGTATGCTGCTCTAAGTCTACACAATTGGAAATTCTTTGGGTACTTGTATGAGTTTTTGCTAAAACTAGCAGTCTTTCTTCAACTAAATAACACAGGATTGAAAACCAAACTTCATGTTATCAAGTGTCAAATCACCAGCTATGTTGAATAGGCCATTTCCGAGTTGTCTCTTGCCTGTTTCAAAACGAGTCCTGGTTCAAAATCAAATAAAAATAAGTTTGATTTGCATTTGAATGAACTTGTGAGTAAAACTCATTTTCATATGAAAGGTTGTGTGCCAGGACTCGTTTTGAAACAGAGTTCTCAACTCATTAATAATTCATCAAGTTAAAACAAAGGAAATCATAACCGTGTCGGAGGTTTGGAAACCCGGTCTTAATTAGCATAGATTTTTACGATTTTATTTCTCCGTTTACTCCTTAGTTTTTGTTTCGATTGAGAAGATATATCAAACACTCGAGACAGTGTTTTCATTGGCTATCCAAACACCTCGAATTTCGTCAAAAATACTCCGCTGCGTGTCGTATTTTCAACTCCATTCTCGGTGTTTGGATAGCCTGATGAAACACTGTCTCTCGTGTTTGATATATTACGTAAAAGGCAACTCGGAAATGGCCTATTACATCTGTTAGCACAGTAACCTCAGATTTCTTACCTGGATAAGTTTTAAAACTTCTTTAAATGATTCATCCAAGTATGGTAGAAACTCTGTTCTGTATGATGGAGAAAATTCAATAGTTATCCTTTCGGTTTCAGTAACAGTTGATTACTTTTGGTTCTAGCCCTCAATCAGTTGTGGTCGCCCTGCCTATTTGTAATCTATTCCGGTTTTCTGTTATGTCGTAGGCGAAGTCAAATAAAATAAAATAAAATATTTAAAAAACCCTGAATGTCTCTTCTGACACAATAAAATGTAATCCTAATGCCTTTTATTTTCCCATACTTTCAAGATCGTGTTATCATACAGTTGAACCTCCGCTTAAGGACACCTCCGGTAGGTGGACACTTCCCATAAGTGGACACTAGGTCATGGTCCCAGTTACATACAAACAATACATTTTTAACCTCCCATAAGCGGACACCTCTCCTAAGCAGAAACGTTTTCTGGTTCCAAGGGTGTCCACTTACAGAGGTTCGACTGTGATACAATACAATACAAGCAGCAAGCAGCGTAAAGGATATTATTTGGGTCATAAGGCAACGTTGCGTGACGACCGCTGCGAAGGAGACTGAGTAAAGGGCTATAAACGAATTCACATACATGTATTGAATTAGCATTAACAACTTACCCTGAATTTTCTGAGATCTCTCCAAGAGCATTACAAGTGTCTTCTTTCTCCTCTAAGTAAGCATTTTCCACACTATATCTGTACTCAAACAGAAACAATGAAATGATATAAAGCGGAGTCAAAGTGTCAGTGATTGTGAACAAGTTGTTAAATTTCTCAATACACCGGTACTTATAAATGTAATAAATAACAGCCTTGACAACACAACAGTTGACGTGGCGAGAAGACAAATTTGCTGCTTGTATGGCACTATTATTAATTCATTTTCAGACATGAAATTTTAAATTCACTTGTATTTCTGGTGCAAAATCTCTACAATGTTATCTGAATTTTAGAGTAAAGGCCTTATCACCCCCGTAAAAGTACATCAGAATTAAAAAACTCATAATATCAAATGTCACAATGTTGTCTTAATTTATAAAGGACACTTGCTACAAATTAGAGAATAGATAGTCAAATGCCAGATTAGAAGACCAGATAAAAACTGACAGAACGTGAGAGCTGTAACAATATAACACGGCCCAAGCAAAATAATAGAAAATGTATGAAAAACACTGATTTGTCAACTTGTTCTCGAGGATGCAAGCACAAAAATCATCAAATTAAAAATATATAATATATATATATTATGTACCCAGTTACTTCATCATCATCTTCGTCATCTCCTAAGTCTTCATCTTCCAGTAGAAAACTAGGGTCTTCCTCACTTGCATAGTGAGTCTGTTGATAGAATTAAATTACACTCATCTGATATAAGATTAAAACTTGATTTTATTAGAACTTTACAATAATATGAAGAACATCACATGATTTTGTAAGAGGCATTAAGAATGTTAAAATCTGAGAGTCGCTGTGTAACAGCTGGGATAATGGTAATGCTAATGGTACTGAATCTTATATAGAGCATTTTCCATGTGTATACTGTTCAAATACGCTTTACATTTCATTCAACTCAGGGGTGAGATTGGATGTCAGCTTGTAAAGGCACCTATGGGAACTGCTATCAGTCCATTCATAATCTCACCCCACCCACCCAACCCATGAATACATAAAAAAAATCCCGCAGTTTTAGGTCACAGGAGTGAGCGAACATGACACTTGAAGTAATGACCAGTATTCAGAAGTTAATTCACAGTTTGTAACAGAAATTACAGGGCGTAGAGTGATAGGAGAAAATAAACAAGGTGAACAAGGAAACGAGCTTAGACCCCTTATTTCTAATGCAGGACTGGGATTCTTGGTACAAAAACGTTCACACTGAATGTTCTCATTTGATCCTTCTGAGATTTGGGACAGTATTTTTTCATGAGTTGAAGTATAGAAAAGGGTAGGGAAAACTGTCATATCTCGAACAGACACACCCAACGGTAGCCTCCTTTGCAGACGTTCTTTGGGTCTGTCCTATTCTCCCTCCCCGGAGGGAGAATAGGACAGACCCAAAGAACGTCTGCAAAGGAGGCTAACCCAACGGCTGATTCATCCAATATTTTAAGGGCTACCCAAGCGAAAAGTTTAAGAAATGTTGGAAAAGGGGTGCACTTTTTCAACTGTAGGTATTTGAAAGGGGTACCATTTTCTATGGAAGGTATATGAAAGGGTTACCTTTTCTGTCAAAAAATTAAATGGTATATAAAAGGGTAATGGTTTGGACCTTGGGTCCCCATATAAAACTTTGTTGAGTACCCCCCAAGGGTTGGATGTTGGATGTGAGATTGGGAAGTAAAGCTTAGCCAGTATCCTGGAGTAGTGATCTTGTGCCTCTTGTCATCCAGACTATGTGTATAAATGGGTTCCAGCAAATTCGTGGGGCCAGCCTGCATGCAGCTGACAAAATGCTAGGGTGGCAAGGGTAAACCTGAGATGGACTAACATCCCATCCAGGAAGATTAGCAATACAGCTCTACTAGTCACTTCATGCTACAGAAAGTGGTGTTACATGCTGGCACTGACAAGCCATCTGGCTTCAACTCCAGATCACAAGGTTTGGAATAAACATTACCTTGACCTTCCTAAAACTTCTTAGATATCAATAAATGCTAAGAGGAATGACTGACTTGGATAAAGTGAATAAATGAAGATTAATGTCTCAACTCGAAATACTCAGAAAAAATTCTGAGCTCCCCAGACCATGAGTCCTCCATAGCTCAGTGGTTAGAGCATCCAACTGGCACCTGGACAGTCATGGGTTTGATTACTGTTGGAGAGCTCAGAATTATTTTTTCTGAGTATTTCGACTTGAGCAGGACTTGAGACATTAACCTTCATTTATTCTTAGATATCATTTTTTACACCAACATATGCCTAACAATATGACAGGTTTAAACAATCCTACAAATCCAAGTGCATAAACAGTAACATAGTTATAAACCTACCACAATTCCTTCTGTAGATTGCAGTGAATCAATCATATATTTAACAATCTCTTTGAGATATTTTCCCATATTAGCCTTTAATATTGTAGATACTGATGCAAACAGACCATACCTGTAAAAGAATGTAATGCAGTAGCCTAATGGTTAGTGCGTTGATGACTCTGAATTGAGTGGTCCGGGCCACTGGCTGGGGTCATTGTGTTGTGCTTTTGGCAAGACACTTCACTCTCACAGTGCTTCTCTACACCAGGAATAAATGGGTACCAGTGAATTGTCAGGGCAACCTGGCAAAAATGCTGGGGGATTACCGACAATAATACCAACAATAATTACTGACAATGTACTATCATGGGTAGTATCAATAATTATTCTCCTTTTCGCTTCATCGAAACTGGATTTAAGCGTCAGCCTCGTAAGCCACCGGCTTGTAGACAAACTAACTAAGTAACCCACAGTAATAGTGAAATCTACAATGTGATGCTATAATCACAATTCTTACGTGCATCTTCTAAGATCAGGATCCCTGTCTTGCTCAAGGAGTCTCTGAGAGAAAAATCAAAGATCCATTCACTTGTGTACATAAAAAGTCTACAAAAAAGATACTACACAAAGACAATAGGGAGTAGGCAAAATTGATCTGTTTGAGTGTTGCCCTCTGCTCATCAATATGTACAAAATAACACAAAATGAAGAATACTTTCTCAAACTAATTGGCTTTCCAGCTACTCTCATAAAACACTGTTTGTTAGCTATTTGTTTGGCATGGTTTCTTAATGTTTCACTCCCTGGGGGTGAGGTAATCCATACATTGGTCAAAATGGAGAGGGCACTATTTCTAGTGTCTCTCAGTAAGTGTAATGCACTTGATTAACATTTTGGTGTTCTGCCAAGTTATATCTCAACTGGTACAAACAAGGGACCATTTAAGAGTTTTGAAACTGTCACTTTGTAAGTAATTAAACGTCATTATTTGAATAAAAAAAAAAAAAATTAAAAAAAAAAAAATAAATTATTTTTCTTAGAGTTTTGGCATAGCCTTCCTCTGCTTCTTTTCTTAACTTGAGGGTTCTCCTCATCCTCTCTCCCTAAACTTCCCAAATATGTCACCATATTGTTTTCATTGGTAACTTACCATGCCAAGCTGAACACACTCATCTGCTAGCGGCATGAAGTTATCTGGACCAATAGTTCTTGCCAGAACACCTAAGGTGTCTATGAAGAATGAATAAAAGTCAAAGAAAGCTGTTAAGATAAAGTTGCCATTGAAAGTAATGCTAGTGTAAGTCAGTACAGGATATGTGGTGGCCTAATGGTTAGTGTTGGACTCCAGATTGAGTGGTCCGTGTTTGAGCCCTGGCCGGAGTCACTGTGTTGTGTTCTTGGGCAAGACACTTAACTCTCACAGTGTCTCTCTCCACCCAGAAGTATAAACGGATACTGACAAATTGTCATGGCAACCTAACAAAATGCTGGGGGTAACCTGGCGTTGGACTAGCATCCCGCCCAGGGGAGTATCAATACTCCAAACTAAGTCGGCTTCATGCTACGGAAACCGGGATAAGCTCTGGCAGTGGCCCCGAAAGGTGTAAGTGAGGAGAGAAGACAGTAAAATTCAGAATTTGAGGATGATCTGCTAAACTATAGCAGGATACAGAGACAGGATAAGGCTTTTCTTGCAGAGAAGCTTGAGCTGGAAGCCATCAATTTTAAGTAAGATTAATTTCTAATTTTAAGAGGCAAACATGTCAACTGGAAACATATATGAAATAGGCGAGACTATAAATGAACAATGAAAAAAAATCTAGTTAATCAACATTAATGTTTTGTTGTATACATTTCCAGCTGACGTCTTTTCTTTTATCCATCAAAGGTTGGAACCAAAAGCTCAAAGTTCTTAATTGTATAATATACATGTAGGCAGAGATTTTTTAACTTAACGAGTTTTAAGTTTTGTGAAAGTATTCTCATGGACAGTACTTAAATTGCATGAGCTTTTAGTCTTATCTTGAATCACTACAATGTCTGTAAGTAATATTCACAAATAGACTCACCAATAGCTTGTACTCGCAAAATATTTGTTTCTACTGATCCTGAATTGCTTAGATATTCCTGCAAAAAAAACAAAAAACACCTGAATAGGTAATTTGAAAAACAAGAGAGTTGAACTATAACTTGGGGCCGATTATTTAAAGTTAAACCAAGTCTAAGTTGGACCTGGTTTAAGGCTAAATCGAGGTTTACACGGGACTCTCTGACCACGACTAAGCGGAGGCTAGATGGTGTCATCACAACATGGGCGAGATCCAGTTCACGTAGAACGCGTTTAGACATGGTGTAATAAGTGTGGCTATTGGTTTAAATCAGGTTTAGATCAGAGCTTTATTAAACGTTGTCTAAACTTCGTTTAAATAATCAGCCCTTAGAGTTTATCAAAGAGATTTGGTAACAGGTAACACAGTAGCAAGACAACACTTCAGTAATTTTTGCTATGAAAAATGGTATTTTTACTTGATTGCATTTGTTCATGTTCTGTCTAACAATGTTGATTCCTTACAAGTTACATTGTGTTGTTTGTGGTTATAGCAGCAGCAGTACTGTACATGTACATCAACTTACATCCTCTTGTCTCACATGCTTAAAAAACATTGAAAACACAACTAAATACAGAAACTGTACACACTCGAGCTTGAGCAACAACAACAACAACAACAAACAAGCTAAATGGGTCTATTACTGAATGCAATACATTAATGCAATCGTGGAAGCAATTTGATAACTATTCAAGCAGGCACAATTATAATAATTACCTTAATAAAATCAACTATTTGAGGGAAGTATGGTAACATGGCTTCTTTAGCAGCATTTGCTGTAAAAAATATATATTTGTAACAACAGAGAATGAATGAAATGGAATTGAGACAATGGCAAACAGAACTGGGAAGGAAAACAACAAATTAAAATAAGATGATAGACAAAATATCAAATGCTGTATGTGAAATCCTGTCCTTAAGCAACTACAAACTACGATGTTCCAGGATTAACATGTTTAATAACAAAAGCCACATATTACACTCATGGCTTCCAAAAGCAGGATGCATCACGGAATGCCAACAGCAATGAACGACTTCTGCTAACACTACAGTAACATAAACTTCCGGTGTAATACACTATATGCTGTAGCTATGTAAAATCAAGAGAAATGGTCTCTACACAGTGCAAAACTGCAGTGAAAAAATGTTGTGAAATAAACTGTATTCAGTTTGTCATGATCACAGGGCTACAGAGAAAATAATCTGAGTTCCTGATGCGAATTTAACCACATGACCTTCCACACACTGGTCAGATCGGCTAACCACTGAGCTACAGGAGACTCATGGTGAGCAATGTCATTTACTAGCGCCAGGTTTGTATGTGACATACATTGTTTAAAAGAGTGGAGGATGTAGTACCAGGTGTGTTTCCCCCCTGGCATGTTCACATGTATCCATGGATTGGGTGGGTGGGGTGAGATTATAACTGGACTGATGACGGCGCTGTCATAGGTGCCTTTACAAGCTGACGTCTGATCTCACCCCAAGTTGAATTGTAAAGCGCATTTGAACAATACCACAAAATGTGCTATATAAATTAACATTACCATTACATCCTGCAAACTGCTAATGTCAAGTCTGGTGATAAAGAGACAGATGTTTACCTGCAGCTCCTACTGCACTGATGGCCAATTCCTTCATCTGTGCACTCTGCAGAAAAAAATATGCAAACTTGGTTAATAAATCCAGTTTCATTAGAAACTAATCACTTTGTCAGGGAGGCGGCGTGGCCGAGTGCTTTAGGGCGCTGGATTTGAAATCTGGAGGTCCCAGGTTCAAATCCTGCATCCTGCCACTAGCTGGATTTGTTCTCGGCAGTCCGAGTTCAACTCCTCTTCCACGCTTTGTAAATAGCCAACTGGTTATCCTCCTGCCAGTTGGGATTCTTAACACGTTTATGTTCAATTTGCAATATTTGTTTCTTCATTTACAATATTAGTACTACCGTGCTAAATACACAGACACTTAAATAAAGTCATTTTTTGTCCATTTATTCGATAAATCTGTTTCTATTAAAAATTAAGTTTCACTGATAGTAAATGTCCCCTAATAAAAGTCAAAAGGATGAACAAAAATTGTACAGTGTATGAATCAAGAGTGAGTAAACAACTTAACATTTTCTTCAAAAGTTATTTGTAAAATGATTTTAATTAATATATAATAACTTACAGTACTAGGTGACAAAGCAAGAAGAAGTTTTTCCATTAATGTAGGTAAATATGGAAGTATCCCCTCTCCTGCAAAAAGGTTGATGAAAGATGTAAGAATATTATAACTAATGAAACAATTTGACCTCATTCTGCAATAATTTATTCTATTCAGCCAAATTAAAGAAAATTGTTCAATAATAAGTTTGGTGAGTTTCATTCTAAAAGTATTCTGGGGGAATACCACCTTTAGGTAGAAAAACACCAAAGAGGTGATAATAAACCAAACAGGAACAAGGATGGTTGAAGATTAAGACAGATGCAAACAGTGAACTTGAAAAAAATTGGCCATTTTTTTCAAGATGTGCCATCCATGACGTTGCTTAAAGATTATTAAAGCTTCTTTAATATCTTATATGTGGTATTTATGGGGTTAATGTCATTTTTTTTTTTGGGGGGGGGGAAGGGGGTTGTAATATTACTTCTTAGATGATCAGAATACTTTTAATGATTTAATTCATTGAATATATAGTATAATATATTATTCTATAAGCACTGTTAAATTGTTTTCAACACTTCTCCAACATCCACATGGCACAGTGT